GGGCCTTGCATTTTTCAATGATAAACACCATCAGCTTCTCATGCGCCCATTTGCTGAGCCTGTCAAGGTGAGCCTGGATTGCCCTCCTGTCTTCAGGTGAGGATGCTTTGCCCCAAAGTTTGCTGTCATTGGCGAACTTGGCCAGTCCACTCCTGACTCCAATGTCCACATCATTAATGAAGATGTTGAACAATATGGGTCCACGGACAGAGCCTTGGGGGACCCCACTGGTCACAGGGCACCATGACGACTGACTTCTGTCAACCACCACCCTCTGGGTCCGACCACAGAGCCAATTTCCCAGCCAGCGGATCGTGGTGGACCGAAGGCCACAACTGGCCAGTTTTGCCAAGAGGTGATCATGGGATAGGAAGAGCGCTATTAAAACGGCCTACACAATAAGTCAAGTAAGACTTGTGCTTTCTTTGTAAGTTATTAGAGCGTTGGTTCACAAACACTATTTTCATAATTGTAAATAGGAGAAAAAAAGGCTTTTTACAACATCCAACCAAAGGAATCATGAAAAAGAAAAAAAGTGTTGAAGCTATTGTCTCAGCAATGTTACTCATAGTTACTATATACGTAAGTTCCCACTACTTAGTGGCCACTTATTTACCATGATGGACTCATTTTTTGACACATTCAATTTTTGAACTGTTCGCCGGAGCCATAGATGCTTATATCTTCCAACAGAGAAGCATATTCTTTCTTGGATGACTAAAATTCAAGTCAGAGCTTGTGTGTCTCAGTTGTGCAGTCTGAAACTTCAAATGGAGATTTTTTCCAAGGAAGCAGTGTATTCTAAGAAACAGCATGTAAAGTAAAAGAACTTTACCTAAAAGCTCTACAAAGTAAATTCACAGTATCCTTCCACTCCAGACCTAAGTATTAAAGGCATGCTTAGGGCTTCGGCTCTCCATTACCTGCTAAATAACTGAGCTGTGACAGTTTAAAATGAAGAGGATTTTCAAAGCATAATCCTCCAGCATGATAAAAAGGTTTTAAACATCAGCCTGAAATGAAGCAGTGGTAAGGCAGCTCTGCATGCAGCTATGATGATTAGACTGACTGAAATTGGTCTAGACATTGTCACGTTTTTTCTTTTCTTTTCTTTTAACTATTTTTTATGACCCCAGGAAGTTACAAGTTGTTTTAGAAGCTTTCATAACCCATTAAAGGTATTTGTAAATACCAGCACAATATTACACACTCCTCACTGTACATAGATGGTGAGCGTTCCCTTACCATGTGAAACATGTTGCTTGCTGAAGGATTCACGCTGGCTCGGAAGTTGTTATGAACTTTCACACACTCCTCAATAAACTGTGAATCTGTAATACTAGGCAAAGTATCTGACTGATACGAGTAGCAGCAGATGGAGAGATCCAGTAATACTATCACATGTAGTAAAAGTCTGATTTCCATGATTCTTGGATGTCTCTGTCCTTCCAGCTTCGAAAGCTTGAATGTTTTCGCTTTATAAGGTTCTCTTAACTCTGAAGGCAATGTTTGGTCTGGCAGGCTTTCAGGCTGGGTTTTATCTTGAAATGACTACCAGAAAGAGTATGTGTACAGGAAATAAATCAGCTGCAGCAGTCTAAAGAATGAGGAAGGTAACACATCATATTTTGCATTTGAGCTGTGAAGTTTTTTTTCCAACCCCCCACCCCCATTTTTTTTCTTTTCTGTTTTAATCTGTAGTAGTTTTTTCTGAAAAGTACACACCCATTCCTGTCTCTCTTCTTTTTCTCCACTCTGTCCCCTTCATCCAAAGTTACCAGCTCGTCTCCTGAAATCTGACTAGGTTTTGCATTGAACAGGATCTGGCCATTACTGTAGTTTGTAATTTGTTCTTCCCCTGCACCGCCAAGGGATTTTGTTCTCTTTGAATGAATACCATATCAGTACTTACTAAAATAGTATAAGAAGCATTCATTCCATCCAGGAAGGGCACACACCAACTGCAGAGATGTCTCAGCCTGACTAAGGGTTTTTAAACCTGGAAGCTTGCCAAAATTTTTTCCTCAACTATTTAAGTTGGTCTAATAAAAGGTATCAGATTCACCCAAAGAACGTTGTCATTCTGAATGGGGACACTTATGGACAAGATGGTTAGCTATATTAGAGTACAATGAGATTTACTGGGATTAATATCATTGAGGCTGACTACAGACATTTGGGGACATTAGGGGAAAGTTAAATTGGTTCAGAATGGTTGCCCAATATCAAGTGAGTTAGGATGGGGGAGCCTAGCAGGGGGTTGGGAGGGCCAGCAGGTTGGAGGGGATTGGGTGGCCCACAGGTGGAGTAGGGGGCAGGTGCAACCCACAGGGTTTTGCTGGGGTCTGGGAGTGTCTGGCAGGGTCTATGTGGTGGTGGTGGGGGGGGGGTTTGGGGGAATCAGGGACTACTTTTTAGCCCCCAAAACTCTCCTCAACAAACCTACACCCCTATCCTTCCTGCACCAGGACTTACTTGTTTGGCTCTGGCAGTGGCAAATGCTGATAAGTGGCTGCACCTAGAGCAGCTTCTGGGAAGGGGGTTGAGAGGGTTAGCTGGGCGGGGAGGAAAAAGGGGTGGGGAAAAAAATAGTCCAGTGGTGGGGGCTGTGGTGAGAAGACCAGCCTGGGTTTTCCCAGCCTTGGGGCTGCACAGGGACAGTGTACAGAAGTCCGTTGCGCCAGTGTGATCTAAATTGAATAAGTTCAATGATACCACATAGACCCAGGTTGATCTTAAACTGGGTTCTGCCATTTTTAGACTGGTTTGTGTGCATGGCACTTGTGTTCAGTTACAGGTTTAGACTGATCGACCGTCACTGAGACCAGGTCTGTAAGTGTAAGGTTGGCACTGTGACAAGCTAAGTTTAAATTGGGCAGCCATTTTGAACCTGATTGAACCTGCCTGTACTGAGGACAGGAACGAACGCTATACTCACGGGTCTCAGAACATTTTTCCCTTATTGTACAGCAGCTGTTATCTGTGCACTCATTTTAGAGCTGTGCTTGGAGGTGCGCGAAAGTTTGATTTCAGCCCCATGTCGACGCCTTGTGGAGCAGATCATTCATTCACCAAGCACCAAATCCCAGTGGGACTTGGGAAGGACAGGGCTTAGCTCTTACATTTCTTCTAAAGCACCTAGATCAGGTAACGGAAATCACTACCCAGGTTAGGTGCCCAACTGTTGTGCTGTGCGCTGCAGGAAGCATTACATGCCTAGGAATGGGCTTCACAAAAGGCAGCGCTCTGAGCAGGGACTGCTTTAGTAGCTAGGAGAAAATGCACGCGTGCGAGAGAGAGGTATGTTTGAAAGTACAGCCCTCTCCTGAGCTTAGCCACCTCCCTTTGGGATTGCCTACACCGCTGCTGGCCCACTCTCTGGTGCTTTCGGGCGTATCGTACTCACCTGAGTCTGTAGGCCTGCTCCAGACCAAGGATGTGCCACTGAGGCCTGTCCGAGCTCTTCCCCAGCGCCTGCTCTCAGGCCCGCTGGAGACAAAGGCCTCGTGAAGGTGCAGAGGTGAAGCAGCCATGCCGAGCTGTTGAAAGCTCTGGAGCGAGGGCTGTTGGGGCTGCTCCCATTCCCCTCTCCGGATGCTGGGATCCACCACTGCTGCCTCAGTCTAGACAAGCTCTGTGTGAGATCAGGAGTTGCAGCCCTTACCCCCCTCCTGGATGAAGGCTCTATCAGCCCTGCTAGCTCTAAGCAACCATAAGGCTGCCCTCCAGCCTACCCCTGTCAACTGCCTGCCTTGAAAACCTCTGAGTGCAACCCCAAGAGGTCTCCAGACAAATCCCAGAGCCCTGCTGAACTGCGGGGTTGGAGGGCCAGCCTGCCTTGCTCACCCCCCTGCAGCAAGTGTGGCTTACCCAGGAGACACAGACCAGAAGCATAGGAGTCCACCACTTGCCTCGGTCACGCCACTTCCTCTTCTGGGCCTCCTTCCCCCAGCACCCTTCCACCCTGTACTTAAAGCTAGTCACTGGAGATGACTCAGACAGGCTGGTTTTGCTTCCAGTTACAGACAGAATTTTTCTTCTGGTTATAGGCAGAGAGGGATTTCTGTAAATAGGGCTGGGGTTGGTTTAGGGCAACCGTCCCTCCTTGTCCTGGTTATTTAGCTGGAGTCATAACGTTGAGGCTCCTTATTCAAATAATTATTTTTTCAGGCAAATGTCTGTTTCTATCTGCTCCCAGAATTATTAACATAACTTGTAATAAAATACACAATATTTCAGTCATAAAGCAAACAATAAATGGAACAAATTCTGTTGATGTCAGTACAGAGTAAAATATTTCATAGGTCATACTGCAACAGGGGCATTCCCCTGAATAATCTGAGATGAGGTACAACCTAACCTGGAGCTTTGCTTATCAGTGACTTGGTGTCCAATTCACAACCCCTAATATCTTTGTATGTGTGATTGTTGTAAGAAGGACTGGATCTTGTCTAGTAGTAAGTGACAATATATGTTTTGGGGCCCCTAAAATGTTTCTGGGGCTTTTATACTCTTCTGACAAAGCTGGGACATGCCTCTTCCTTTCTGTCTTTACATTATCATTTTCTCTGCAGCATGGCTTAACTGTTATTTGTCTCTAATCAGAGCTTTCTATCCTCTCAGGACTTTTTTTGAAATCATTATATAGAGTTATACCGTGGGAATGCTGTAGGTAAAAACAGGGAATGCAGATCTCCTACATCTCCATTAACTACCAAGGGAAAACACATTTCACTTAATATACATCTTTCCTCTTCAAACATATTTCACTTAATATGCATCTTAATACTTGTTACATAAACATGTCTATGTAGATTAACATTTTATCTGGAATGCTTTTCACCAGTTTTTACACAAAAGATATCAATCTGACATTCCTTTCAAAAAAGCTAACTTTGCTTTCTCTGAAATAAATGAAAAGGCATTTACTAAACTGACTTTTTTCTTCTGATTCTAACACTCGCATTCAAGCAGAATATTTTGATTAAAGTTCTTACATTTTTTACTCAGGCCCCTGACAGATGTTACATTTAAGATGTGATTAAGTGGTTAATCAAGTCTTTAGTAATGCAGACAAATGATCATTCAATTAATGGCCTGATAAAATGAGGAATAAGCCACAAAAATGTGCACTCCCCTGGCTGGGAGCCTCTGTCAGCTGATGCAGGGCTTCCAGTTGCAGGTTTGCAGGGAGTGAAGCTTGTTACTTGCTGGTGCAGGGGGAGCCTGGGATCCTGGGCACCATGATCCCGGGCTCCCTGTGCACCAGCAATATGTTGCGATGGGATTTGATAAGGGTGTGCGAAGCGGACCCTATTCAATTTGGATTTGCCCCAAATCAGGGACAGTGATTCAATTAGTTGATTTGGATCACTGTCCCTGATTTGATTCGACTGAATCTGAAGATTCGATGTTGATTTGGAGAATCAGCAATTCAGATATAGACACAGCTTTAAATATTTTTTTCTACATACCTCGAGGTACCAGGTGTGGCTTGTGAATGCTGTGACGCTGGGGGAGATGGAGTGTCCCACAGGAGTGGGGGGGGCCCTCCACGTGCTCAGCAGCAAACCCGGAAGTGGACCAGAAATATTTCTGGTCCACTTCTGGGTTGGCAAGGGAGTGTGCAGGGGGGCCTGCCTGCACTCCCCCCCCCTGGCTCGGGGATCAGCTGTGGGGGGACCTTGGGTGCCCCCCTGACCCAGGAGGCACCAGTAGCTGAGCTGAGGGGCAGGTGCAGGGGGTGGGGGGCCCAGCATGCTCCCCAGCAGACCAGGAAGTGGACCAGAAGTGTTTCTGGTCCACTTCCAGGTCTGCTGCTGAGTGCACTGCCCCCACCCCACCCCCGGCGCTTCTGTGGGACACTCCATGTGCCCCAGCATCACAGCATTCATGATCTGCCTGCTACCTACAAGTATGTAGAAAAAACATTTAAAGCTGTGTCTGTGTCCAAATCTCTGAATTTTTCCAAATCAATTCAGAGGGTTCCGACTGGATTCGGAGAGATTAAAGGGTCTCCTGATTTGATTTGAATTTGGAGATTGGGCCACTGAGTCAAATAAGGGGCCAAAGCTTTGCACAGCCCTAGAATTTGATGCTTGGTGGGATGTTCAATGGATTTGATCTCACAGTCGTGCCTCCTGCTATGCACTTGTGGCATGGCAGGAAGTACGGTTGTTGGGATTCCGCACCAGTTCTCATTGTTCCTTTAATTTAATGTCTGATGGGGGCTTCACATTCACTGATGGGGGCTTCCCCCTGCTACTCCTCCCCTGCACCCTTGCCCCCAGAAAAGAAAAAGATAATTAAGAGCTCTAGTTGGTGGCCCTAGTGCTACACATTTCTCCTCAAGATTTTATAGATCAGTAGCAGCATTTACACTTCAGAGTCTTGTTGGCAAAGAGTCTTGATACTAGGATTGCTATTGAGCTATAATAGTTTTACTGTGAATAAGACTAGCTGTGACTTTCTAGGGTGTGAGGCCTAGTCTGTTGACTCCAACTGTTCCTTGGCAAACACCTACTTACAGTCAGTTCTTTTTGTGTTTCCCCAGTTCTTCAAAGTCTAATCTCTTTTTCTTTGTGCAGGGCACTTATTTTTTTTGTGTTGTAAACTGTCCTGTTCTGCTCCTTTTTGCTCACTTGCTCACACTCAAATATCAACAAGAACAAGTGCGAAGTCCTTAGGACACAACAATCCCATGTACCAGTACAGGCTGCGGGCTGGCTGCCTGCACAGCAGTGCTGCAGAAAAGGACCTGGGAGTTACAGTGGACAATAAGCTGAATATGTTCTGACAGTGTGACCTTGTTGCTAAGAAGGCTAATGGCATACAGAGGTACACTGGTAGGTGTGTTGCCAGTAGATCATAGTGTTAGGGTAGTTTGTCATATTTTATGCTTTGAAGTTGCACCTGTTTATAGACTGGCAAATTATATTATTGTTTAAAGTTTATTTTTATATTCAACCTAAAGTTTTGTATAGCCTCACTATTATCTACACTTTTCATTTTGCTGGTGTTTGCAATATTAGTTAGCTTTGTTTCTTGCTTATGGCTTATGGCCTTGAGTTTGCTTGCATGATGTTTCTTTCCTTTTTTCTATCACTGTGAGAAGTTTTTCTAACACAACATAGTAATCATTTTGTTACTAGCTCAAATTAACTGATTTTGGCACTAACCAGCTAAATCAGAGGGATGAAATAACTGCATATGTTAATGAAAGGTAATAAAGGAGACCAATGGACAATACTCAAAGTAAGACACCAGAAAAAGGCCAAATTAAAAGGTGTGCTCGTAATGGGTCTGTTGAACAAAGGAATATGCTGACAGGAAGAAATATGGACAATATGCTGGCTGCAGAGAGACCAATCCGAAATCAAGGAATCAAAGGAGTCAAGTTAGAGAAAAGCATACAAGTGGACAGCAAGAAAGTTAAGTGTGTTGCCAGCATCATCATTTTTATCATAAATCCAGCTTTCAACACCTGTCTGGATTATCCCAGCCAATGACACCCCCTTTGCTTCAGGAACTGAGTGGCTGTCTTTTCTGTGAAGCAAAGTAACGTCTGGGATCGGGTAAGATCATTGTACTGTTTTTCTCTCTCTGAATATAGAAACTGCTAAGAATACTTGTTGTACTAATACAGTTAGACTTTAATATTAGGACGCCTGAGTTGTCTGTGTTCGTATTTCACATTCCATTTAAGGGTTAACAATGCTTAGGAATCATTAAAGCACAATCTGCTGGTCAGTGGTGCATACAATGGGAAATGATTCTTCCCCTCTACTCAGCACTGGTGAGACCACATCTGGAGGACTGTGTCCAGTTTTGGGCCCCCACTACAGAAATGATGTGGACAAATTGGAGAGAGTCCAGCGGAGGGCAACAAAAATGGTGAGGGGGCTGGGGGACATGACTTGTTTTAAAAGAAAAAGTTGTCATGGAGCGCACAGTCATATTGAAAAAAATGTTTTATGATCTCTGGCCTGAGTATAGCTGAAACTTCAATGAAAATTCAGTGTATGCAGGAGTCTGAGAATTCAATTATGTTCATGAAGGCCACTTTTTAAAGTAGTTTAATCTTGCTTGTTGAGGACTTTAGTCTGCTGAAAACAATGTACTGTGGTTTTATCCAACTGTGAAGCCACACAGAACAATAGTAGTTTTCCTCAAGCATCAGAAAAGCCCAGGAGATACCTTTGATCCAGCAGTGGTGTTTAACCTTTCTCCACTTTACAGATTCTAAATCTATATTCAATACAGTGAAAGAAGCTTCTTTAAAATCTGTTGATACCTCTGCAACAAGATATGATATTTAACTGCATAAATATTTAAATGAAAAAGAAACAATTTCTCAAGATGATGCATGATTTAATAAAGTATAAACAGGCACCCAAATCTCTAACTGTTGACTGACTTCCCATGGGGCAGAATTGTTTCAAGATATTGATTAGCAGTCATTGGTTAGCAATCCTTTCTCTAAAAAAAAAAAGTGTAGATCTTTACCTTCCCCTGCTTTCACCCTTTTGCCCAATAGTTTGGAGGTGATGCCGCTTACCTGGAAGTATAAAAGAAATATGTGTGTTCAATTCCCTGCTCAAAATCAGGAAGGAAGGAGAGGTGAATTTGGGTTTCCCACTACCCATTGGGCACCATGAATATGTATCCTGGAAAAGCCATATTCCCTTGTTTGTATCTCTTTCCTGTGTCAGTTTTGTTCAGGTAAGAAATGGAAACAAACTGCATAAGTCTACCTTTTGGCAGAAAGGAAATCAGAGGTGACATCATGTCAAGTTATGAGGCATGTTTGAGCCATGGACTGTTGGCCAAATTTGTATGTGCTGATAAAAATCTTTTTATGGGTATATCTCCAAAAACAATTTAAAATTAATTTTAACAGTTGCATAGGGTTTTATCCAATAATTTTTTAATGCAAATTCATAGCAGTCCTCAGAGAAAGTACCTGGGCCTGCCGTCCTTCCTGGGGACTTCCCCAACCACTAGGCTACAGTTTCAACCTTCCATATACTCCCTCTCTCTAGCCTAATGAATCTTGCATTACGTTCTTCACAGTGACATACCTTCAGCAGGAAGGATGAAGTGTTCCCACTCAGCCTAGTGTATAGCTGGTTTAGAGTCCTCTGCTGGGAAGTGGGAGATGGCGGGGGTTTAACGCCCTCCATACTGGAGGGTGCTCAAGCTCCATCTCCCACTTCCTAAGCAAGTGCTTTAATCTCCAGCACAGCAATTATATATAGGTGGACACTACTGTCTCCTCTCCTCTCTCAATCATATTTTTAATGAAAGTGGTTATGGGCTACTATCTTTTGTACTGAGCTCAAAGCTCTTAGTATGTATTAAGAATACTCAAATCATGCCTATCTGAAAGGGCCCCTTAGGAAACAAGTGCTGGGTCACCACCTAATTTCTGGATCCCAGTCTGGCATAGGTGCCCTCTGGGAAATAGGTATATTCACCTCTAACGTCCCGATTTCAGGATGGCAGCAAAATATATACAGTAGCAAATCTGTAAGTCAGAGATGTCAGACTCACCTGTGGGCTTGGGCTAGATCTAGACTTCTGTATTCCTCATAGGCTGGATTTGGCCTGAAGCACTACCATGGTAGACTAGAAGTTGTTTTGCAGCCACTGGACCACTTCTTTGTTTCAGGTCAATATTTCTAGTATTTAGAATGACCCTGGGCTACTGAGCTCTATAGTGATACACTTCTTAATTCCAAGGTGGGGCGGGGAATGGATGGATTCTTTTCTCTCTCTAAGGTAAAAAGCATTTTTATTTTTTCCAATTTTATTCAACTGAAATTTTGTTGACAAATGGCTTGTGTACATAATATTTCTTAAATCTCTTGTTTTCCACGTATAAAATAACATAGCAGACAAAAGACCCAGAATTTTAAAAAACTATTGTTGACCCTTGAAGGAGATTTAAGGGTGTTAGGGTTACTTTTGACAGCCCCTGTTCTCAGCAAAATGAGTCCTCTAATTTGGTGAAAACAAAAACAAACTTTATTAAAATTATGAAATGATGATCTTGCTAACAAAGATCTAGCTAGATTTGCTTCTGTGATCCAAACAGAAATAAGCAGTCTTACAACTTGGAATCCCTATGTCTTGAAATCCTAAGAATTTCTAACAGATGAGCAGCCTGTTGGGGTGATCTTACCCAAATTCGGAAACTAACTCCTAAGAGGCGCTGGATTTTCATTTACAGCTACAAATGGGAGCCTCAGCAGAGGATGCCAGAGGAACACATCTCTGAGCACTGAGAGACTTTATCCCCCTTCTCAAAGGTTTACAATGTTATTTGATGAAAACATTGACAAATATGGTAAAAAAGAAGACATTTTTGTTTCATTCTGTCAGATGAGCTTGAACAAACTGACGTGAACCTTTAATCAAAACTGGATGTCCTAGGACTGGGCTAGCTAGCCTTGTTGAGAAAATTCTCAATAAAGGCCCAATAAAACTATAAGCATGCAAGCTAAAAGGATTCAAACTTAACACAAAGAACTATATTATATGAGAATAATTTAATATTTCTCACCTATTAACACTGTATAGTACTGTAACACGTCTGTGACCACCCAGAATCACATTTTTGTTATGCTGAATACAGTGGCCACCAGAAACTTGGTATTGCTGGATTTGGATTTCTCTAGTTCCCAAAACTAAGATTTAAGTTAAAGAAGAATCTCCATTAGTAGCTTATAGCAGTGGTTCCCAAGCTCTTTAGACTCACTACACCCCCGGAGAGACTCAAGACACCTGTGGGTAGACTTGAGGCACCCCTCAGAAAATGTCAGCTCTAAAAGTTTTCACTTGGTTTTTGACTACAGGAAAATCAATAGAGCAATTCTTCAGTTGCAGAGAACTCAAAGACCACAGCAGGGCAGACTGTTTTTAATGCTATGGATTCTAATTGAAAGATTCAAGTTTAACATATGAATCACATTAACATACCTAACAGTGTTAATGTTGTGTGGCACCCTGCATCACCCTTGAAAAGATCAAGGCATGTTAGGATGCTGTGGTACCTTGGCTGACAATCACTAGCTTATAGTCCAGCCCAGTGGTCCTCAATCTTTTTGGACTTGAGGCACCCCTCTGTAACTTCTGGGATTTGAGTGGCACCAAATTTCAAAAACTAATTTATAAATTACAATGCTTACTTCCTTATGGAGGGGCCTGGCAGTGTAAGTAGGAGGATCATCCAGGCAGGGATAAGCCTGAGCCTGAGCTTTTCTGCTAGTTCAGCTGCTTATTTGCTAACACTTATCTCCTCAGACCTCAGATTCACATACCTTTCAAAAGATCCAGCAGCAGCTCAGGGTCTCCCAGCACCCTCACTGAGAATCACTGGCCTAGCTTCTATGGTAAGCAGTCTAGCAGTTCTGATTCTGACAAGAAGTGGGAAGTGGCTCCTTAAATAGCACATTGTAGCATGTGTTTGTGTTTACTTAGATTTGTCAACAGACTCATTAGAGTCTAAATGGTCAGACAATATTCTGTGGAGCTAAAAAGGGCAGCTCTTCCCTAAATATCTTAACGGGGGATAATTTTACTTGTTCATCCTCTTCTTGAAGGGGGGAAATGTATCTTGGACACAGATAAGAACAGTGGGAAAATTTTTAAAGTATAGTGATGCTCAAAGGCTAAAAGATCAAATAATGGGGGTTAACATTTTTCTGTTATAAAAACAATCCTGCCTATATTGTTCTTCTGTGTGATTCCCTTGCTTCAGTGATATAACAGAACTAAACAGTGCTGCTGAATATCTTGAAATGGAGATTATTCATAGATAAATAATTGAGGATACTGCCATTGTACTAGAAAGACAGCACCAAAGGCCAGAAACACAAACAGTGGCCTTAAAACTAAAACAACAATACAGTATTGGTTACAAAAGGAGCGTGAAGGCACAGAAGGGCTGGGGGATGAAGGAGTGGAAGGGTATGGAGGCCTAGGCAAGGGGAGGTGTGGAGTTGTGTCCCAGTCTGGATACCAGTTGTCATAAACTTGAAAAAGAAAGAAAAGGGGCTTATGCTTAACAATACATACTGTACTGTAAGTAAGTAATTTAAAAAGAAAAGGTGTTGATACATACTTATCAGTTGCTCACGTTCTGGGTTTTCTGGTGAGAGATCAGAAACAAATGTAAATATGATTTGACTGTCAGTTTTATTAATGAAAAATTAGTAGCACCTTAGTACTGACTATACAACTGCACCTGCAACTCAAATTGATGTCTAAATGCCGCTCAAAAATTAACTGGGCTGACATGTTGCCAGATGAGGTAGGTCTCATAGTTTTGTACTGAATTTAATGTAGCTTCCAACTTTTGTATTTGCTCTTATATAACCTGTTGTCCTACAGGTGAAGGAAGTAGCAAATTCATCTAAAAGTTGGATTTCTTGTTAAAAGGTAATGTGCAAAACTAACTTGCAGAAGTCAGTAAATACAAGTAACATATAGTGGGGCCAGGTACAGCACCTCTACCGCCACTGGGCAGAGCAAACAAGCAGTGCTTGTCACATTCTTCCTGGCACAAATGCAGGGAACCAGGGATACTTTGCCCAGCCTGGAAGCAGCAAGCACAGAAAGAATTCCCTCCCACTCCCTGCTTGCTGCTGACAAGGAGACCTGGGCTGCCTGCAGTTGAGCAGGGTGTCCCTGGCTCCATACACAGGTGGAGGGCAGTGAAGAGAATTTCCTCTCCTGCTCTCAATGTTTGCTGCAGCTCTGGAGTTCACTTAGTTTGCCTGGTGGGAGCAGCAAGCTGTCCTGCTCTTAGTCCTTCCCCAGCCTCAAATAGCAAGTCACAGCAGTGCAGGTGATGGACAGTCAGAGTAGGTTTTTCACCTTACCATGTGACTACTTCACTAAGTGGAACAACACTAAGCCAATTAACATTTGTTCAGCTTACCGTGTAAGTTCTAACAAGGCTCTAAATGTGGAAACCTCAGGAGCATGCTAGGGTGGGAAGAG